CCCCAGTCCCAGCCTCAGCCCCAGCCTCAGCCCCAGTCTCAGCCCCAGTCTCAGCCCCAGTCTCAGTCTCAGCCCCAGTCCCAGCCCCAGTCCCAGTCCCAGTCCCAGTCCCAGTCTCAGCCCCAGTCTCAGTCTCAGTCCCAGCCTCAGCCCCAGTCCCAGCCTCAGCCCCAGTCCCAGTCTCAGCCCCAGTCTCAGTCCCAGTCCCAGTCTCAGCCCCAGCCCCAGTCCCAGTCCCAGTCTCAGCCCCAGTCTCAGTCTCAGCCCCAGTCTCAGCCCCAGTCCCAGTCTCAGCCCCAGTCTCAGCCCCAGTCCCAGTCTCAGTCTCAGCCCCAGTCTCAGTCCCAGTCCCAGTCTCAGCCCCAGTCTCAGCCCCAGTCCCAGTCTCAGCCCCAGTCCCAGTCTCAGCCCCAGCCCCAGTCCCAGTCCCAGTCTCAGCCCCAGTCTCAGTCTCAGCCCCAGTCTCAGCCCCAGTCTCAGTCTCAGTCCCAGTCCCAGTCTCAGCCCCAGTCTCAGTCCCAGTCTCAGCTCAGTCTCAGTCCCAGTCCCAGTCCCAGTCTCAGTCTCAGTCCCAGTCCCAGTCCCAGTCTCAGCCCCAGTCTCAGTCCCAGTCCCAGTCTCAGCCCCAGTCTCAGTCCCAGTCCCAGTCTCAGTCTCAGCCCCAGTCTCAGCCCCAGTCTCAGTCCCAGTCCCAGTCTCAGCCCCAGTCTCAGTCCCAGTCCCAGTCTCAGTCTCAGTCCCAGTCTCAGCCCCAGTCTCAGTCCCAGTCCCAGTCTCAGTCTCAGCCCCAGTCTCAGTCACAGTCCCAGTCCCAGTCTCAATCCCAGTCCCAGTCCCAGTCTCAGTCTCAGTCCCAGTCCCAGTCCCAGCCCCAGTCTCAGTCCCAGTCTCAGCCCCAGTCTCAGTCCCAGTCTCAGTCTCAGCCCTAGTCTCAGTCCCAGTCCCAGTCCCAGTCTCAGTCCCAGTCCCAGTCTCAGCCCCAGTCTCAGTCCCAGTCCCAGTCTCAGTCTCAGCCCCAGTCTCAGTCCCAGTCCCAGTCTCAGTCTCAGTCCCAGTCCCAGTCCCAGTCTCAGCCCCAGTCTCAGTCCCAGTCCCAGTCTCAGCCCCAGTCTCAGTCCCAGTCTCAGTCCCAGTCCCAGTCTCAGCCCCAGTCTCAGTCCCAGTCTCAGTCTCAGCCCCAGTCTCAGTCCCAGTCCCAGTCTCAGTCCCAGTCTCAGTCTCAGCCCCAGTCTCAGTCCCAGTCCCAGTCTCAGTCTCAGTCCCAGTCCCAGTCCCAGTCCCAGTCCCAGTCCCAGTTGCAGACGGTAGCCTTACTGTGGAGGTATGAGGCTGCAAACCTGGAGGCACCGAATCCATCTGGTGGATGGAACGTGACATTTAACAGGACATAAGTTTAAATTAGCTTAAATCATAAACTGGAGATTAGAAATTTGCCAAACAAAGCTCCAGATGCCATATGAGCAACGGTAGCGTCAAGTATACATATCTTATCTCTCAGGAGATTCTATTTATTTTTTTCAGTTGGTAGAGCTTTTGTTTCACTATAAAAACTGTTAACTTTAAAAGTTTAGACAAATTATGCATTGCAGAGATTCACAGTTTGATCATTGGTCTGGTGTTTCCCTGAACATTGTGTGGTTATTTTTGGCAGCAGGGCGCTCACTGCTCTGTATAAACAGCATCCTTTTTTGTATTTCTAGCCAAAATCTTAAACCCCAGTTCTGTCATGTCTTAAACGACATGACAGAATCCCACACAGACCCACTCAGAGCGTTCGTTCAAACATGACTGTGTGTTTGACAGTTTTTCTTCAGCCCAGAGCTGTAAGGCCGTGTGGATAAACCCGCAGCCTGCGTGGCGTATTTATTTGTTCACGGCTCCAACATGGACGCCCCTCCTGCCGCCCCGCGACCCAAAGCAAAGACGGCTTCATGGATGGCTAATTTTTCCTTCCTGACCTCCCTTTGTGTGGCATTGACCCACTCCCCATCCCACCTTCAACCCCCCCAAGAATAGCTGCCAACTCTAACACCCCCCCACACACACACACACACACTAACAGGCTATTCTGTATTTAAATATATTTTTATTTTTTTCTTATATTTTTTTCTTTCTCTTATACCTGACAAACAAGGCGAGATTTAGTGTATACCTTATATAAATAGACTTGTTAGTTTTCTTTCATTTAAGCTCATTTTCATTATGGCCTGTTGGTATTTATTTTATTTAATTTTTTACTTTATTGATCTCACAATAGAGAAATTAACTCTCTGCATTTAACCCATCTCCTTGGGGAGCAGTGGGCTGCCATTGTGCAGTACCCAGGGAGCAGTGTGGGGTTAAGGGTCTCGCTCAGGAACCCAGAGTGGAGGCTGTGGGGATCGATCCGGGTACTAGGAACCAGGGCTTGAAACCAAAGGCCGTTTCTCAAGTCTGTTCTTTTGAAGAACCCAGAACCCAGAAAAGACCCTGGGAGAACCGGAGCACGCAGCATAAATATGGATCAATTGGCGTAATGATGACGTCACCACACGCTCAGCTCGTCTGGAGCTGCATTTCACCTCCTGTTATTAATAGTCGATAGATAATAATAAATTATGACTTTTTTTTATCTAGCGGGTGAATAATGATGAACACAGTCAGATAGAAGAGAAAATGAACATTTTGCCAAATAGAAAAAAAAAACATCAGAGCCAGCGGTCCTTCACACACGGCTATGCAGAGAGGGCCGCTGCAGACGGAGTAACGTTAGCCCTGGCCACTGCAGACGGGCTAACGTTAGCCATGGCCACTGCAGACGGAGTAACGTTAGCCCTGGCCACTGCAGACGGGCTAACGTTAGCCATGGCCGCTGCAGACGGGCTAACGTTAGCCTTGGCCGCTGCAGACGGGCTGCCGTTAGCCCTTGCCGCTGCAGATGGGCTGCCGTTAGCCCTTGCCGCTGCAGACGGGCTGCCATTAGCCCTTGCCGCTGCAGACGGGCCGCCGTTAGCCCTGGCCGCTGCAGACGGGCTGCCGTTAGCCCTGGCCGCTGCAGACGGGCTAACGTTAGCCTTGGCCGCTGCAGACGGGCTGCCGTTAGCCCTTGCCGCTGCAGACGGGCTGCAGTTAGCCCTGGCCGCTACAGACGGGCTGCCGTTAGCCCTGGCCGCTGCAGACGGGCTAACGTTAGCCCTGGCCACTGCAGACGGGCTAACGTTAGCCTTGGCCGCTGCAGACGGGCTGCCGTTAGCCCTGGCCGCTGCAGACGGGCTAACGTTAGCCTTGGCCGCTGCAGACGGGCTGCCGTTAGCCCTGGCCGCTGCAGACGGGCTAACGTTAGCCTTGGCCGCTGCAGACGGGCTGCCGTTAGCCCTTGCCGCTGCAGACGGGCTGCCGTTAGCCCTGGCCGCTGCAGACGGGCTGCCGTTAGCCCTGGCCGCTGCAGACGGGCTGCCGTTAGCCCTGGCCGCTGCAGACGGGCTAACGTTAGCCCTGGCCGCTGCAGACGGGCTAACGTTAGCCCTGGCCGCTGCAGACGGGCTAACGTTAGCCCTGGCCGCTGCAGATGGATTAACGTTAGCCCTGGCCGCTGTAGACGGATTAACGTTAGCCCTGGCCACTGCAGACGGGCTGCCGTTAGCCCTTGCCGCTGCAGACGGGCTGCCGTTAGCCCTGGCCGCTACAGACGGGCTGCCGTTAGCCCTGGCCGCTGCAGACGGGCTGCCGTTAGCCTTGGCCGCTGCAGACGGGCTGCCGTTAGCCCTTGCCGCTGCAGACGGGCTGCCGTTAGCCCTGGCCGCTACAGACGGGCTGCCGTTAGCCCTGGCCGCTGCAGACGGGCTGCCGTTAGCCCTGGCCGCTGCAGACGGGCTAACGTTAGCCCTGGCCGCTGCAGACGGGCTAACGTTAGCCCTGGCCGCTGCAGACGGGCTAACGTTAGCCCTGGCCGCTGCAGATGGATTAACGTTAGCCCTGGCCGCTGTAGACGGATTAACGTTAGCCCTGGCCACTGCAGACGGGCTGCCGTTAGCCTTGGCCGCTGCAGACGGGCTAACGTTAGCCCTGGCATTAGTTTGTTGCCCTGCTTGCAACTTTCTCAGAGCACAAGCCTACTGCTCACCAGGCCAACATTCCCAAACTAAGTGAGATGGATGTCCATAAAGAACATGGCATCTAGACTTAGACTAATTATTTGGATAAAAAACATCAAAATAATTAGTTTCATCCAGACAATTCATTTTTTTGTGGTTGGATTCGGTGCTGCCCCAACTTGTTGCTCACCACATACCAAAATAAATAATTTTTCCAGATGATGCAAAGTTAAATGTGACACTGTTTAATAAGTCTAAGGAATCATCCAGAATTATAGAAAATGTTCCTTTAATAGAGTAGAGCAGTAAAGCTTCTGGCATTAACAGTTTTTCCTGCATTACTTTTATACTTTAAAATGTTACTTTTTAGACTTTTACTGGAGTAAAAAGCTGAAGTTGATCCTCTAACTTCTACAAAAGTGATTTTAATGAGTATGATTTATACAGGAGGAATAAACATGAATACTTTTGACTCCTCTGCATGTCACATCGTCACACATCCAATCAAGTAATGCGCTTTAATTGACTTTTATTGTGAAAGAATCTGTTGTGTTTTTTTGGAAATGTAGCAGAAATACAGAAAGTTAATGAGTTTAAAATGGTTTGAAGTTAATCTTCTTAACTCTAAAGAAAGAGAAATTGTTTGCTTTTCAGTTTAGGTTCTGCACAGAATTAGCTGTTAAATTTTAACTCCTTTTCATTTCCTCTGGAAGTATTTTTAAAGTATATTTTAATTGTTATTTAATTTTTTTAAAAAATAGTTAAATGGTCATTTTAATGTTGTAGTTTTTTGCTTTTCTTAAAACTTAATCATGTTGATATGTGCGGTTGCTATTAGCAACCATGGGTTATATAGAAATGTTTGTCTCTTTCAGCTCTTTCATTTTATGACCTATTAACTCGACTTGTTTTTTTTTATTTCTGCAGACTGTGACTCTTACTGCAAAGCATCAAAAGGGAAACTGAAAATCAACATGAAGAAATTCTGCAAGAAGGATTACGGTGAGTCAGAATAAAATCAATGTTCTGGTTCTTAGCAATGCAAACCAAACATCTTATGGAGGAAATCAATAGAAACATTAATATTTAATGTTGGACATTATTTAAGTTTGGGTACAGAAAAATAAATCCGATATCAGAGGCCTGTTTTATATAAAGAAGATTTTACAGTTTTTTCTCTGAATGAAGCAAATAAAGGATCAAATAAATCTTCAAGCGAACAGAAGGAGAGAAAGGGAGCTGGAGGGAAGGAGCGGGAAACGGACTGGGCCAGCGGTGCGTTTGTGTGTGGGCGGGGCTAACTCTGCCCACAGAGCCAGAGGGGGGGGGGTCCTCATTAAGGATGGACCCACTTCCCCCACAGCCGCAGCGTCCCGTGCTGCATTCCTGCGACCATCAGTCTGCCGCGCCATTCAAGGTGTGGATAAGACGTATGACCTCTCCCCTCTCCCCCGCCACCCGTGTCCCCTCCCCTGATTGAAGTCAGGCTGCAGAGCTGCTGAACCAAACCGGGGGTGTCTCTGAGCATACTTCAGGAGCTTGACGGATAGGTCCGGGCTTTGTTCTGAGGAGATTTGGAGGAGTTAGGGGTCAGCTTATAGACACCTCCTCTTCAACCCGGGTCTACCTCACTGGTGGTGTCGTGAGAAAAACTGTGTCTCTGTGACATAAAGGGGGATGGGGGGGGGATTCAATGCATGCAGTTCTATGTCATTGGAGGGAAATTTATCAAATTTTGGTCCAAATTCATACAAAACACTGGAAAAACGACCTACAAATAAGTACAAATCTCCTAAATTAAGTGTATTTACCCTTAATTAGAGTAGGTAAAAGATATAGTTTGCCAAAGGGATGAGTGTTTTTACTCTATAAAAAAGATAATTAGATACGATGCACTTGAAATAAGACAATGCAATTGTGTTTTCTTATTTTAAGTGTAAATTGTCTGGATCCATTGGCAAAATGTCTCTTTGACCTCATAAATCCAAGAACAAAAGCACTTATTTCAAGAAAGAATTACTTAACTAGATTTAGATGTTTTCCAGTGTACTCAGCCACTTCTACACTGCAAAAACGATCTAGAAATAAGTAAAAAATTTCTTAAATTATGTGTATTTACTCTTAATTTGAGTGGGTAAATGAGGTAGTTTGCCAATGGAATGAGTATTTTTACTCTTTAAATAAGATAATTAGATAATATGCACTTGAAATAAGACAATGCAATAGTTTTTTTCTTATTTTAAAACTACATTGTCTTGATCCATTGACAAAATTCTCTTTTAGCTTCTTAATTCAAGAACAAATGCTCTTATTTTAAGAAATAATGACTTATCTAGATTTAGATTTTTTTCCAGTGTAGGAGAAGGACTGGTACACTGGAAAAAACATCTAGAAACATGTAAAAAATGTCTTAAATTAAGTTTATTTACCCTTGATCTAACTAGGTAAATGAGATGCAATTGGAGTATTTTTCCACTAACAATAAGATAATTAAATAATATGCACTTTAAATAAAACAATGCAGCTGTGGTGTCTTAATTTAAATCTAAATTGTCTTGTTCCGTTGGCAAAATGTCTCTTTTCCCTCTTCAATTCAAGAACAAATTTCTTCAAATTTATTTGAAGAAAAAAATGACTTATCTAGATTTGGATTTTTTCCAGTGTAATCTGCTGAGACACAGAACCTTAATTTAATTTAACCATTATTTAACCAGGATAATTCCACTGAGATTAAGAACCTCTTGTTTAAGGGAGCCCTGGTGACGCGTAAGAAAGCCTGAGGAATTAGCATGTGTTGCACATCAACTGCAGCACATCTACTGAGACTGATGGCTGCTGCAGGCTCCTGCAGGCTGCTGCAGGTTGCTGCAGGCTGCTGCAGGCTGCTGAAGGCTGCTGCGGGCTGCTGCAGGCTCCTGCAGGCTCCTGCAGGCTGCTGCAGGCTGCTGAAGGCTGCTGCGGGCTGCTGCAGGCTCCTGCAGGCTGCTGCAGGCTGCTGCAGGCTGCTGCAGGCTGCTGCAGGCTCCTGCAGGCTGCTGCAGGTTGCTGCAGGCTGCTGCGGGCTGCTGAAGGCTGCTGCGGGCTGCTGCAGGCTCCTGCAGGCTGCTGCAGGCTGCTGAAGGCTGCTGCGGGCTGCTGCAGGCTCCTGCAGGCTGCTGCAGGCTGCTGCAGGCTGCTGCAGGCTCCTGCAGGCTGCTGCAGGCTGCTGCAGGCTGCTGCAGGCTCCTGCAGGCTGCTGCAGGCTCCTGCAGGCTCCTGCAGGCTGCTGCAGGTTGCTGCAGGCTCCTGCAGGCTGCTGCAGGCTCCTGCAGGCTGCTGAAGGCTGCCGTGGGCTGCTGCAGGCTCCTGCAGGCTGCTGCAGGCTGCTGCAGGCTGCTGCAGGCTCCTGCAGGCTCCTGCAGGCTCCTGCAGGCACCTGCAGGCTGCTGCAGGCTGCTGCAGGCTGCTGCAGGCGAAATGGAATAAATTTCCTGCGGAGTAAAGATGTGTTCATCTGCAGCCGTAGTTTAACTTTGACACGCAACAAATCATAGATGGCTCTTCAAACTACTGAAGCATTAGAAGCTTTTTTTTTTTAAGTGAATTGTTAAAACCTCCGGCTGGTTTTAAAGCACCTTTGCACAAACATTCGCCACCATTTAAGTTTTTAACATTTTGGAGCAGGAAAGCTACAAAAGGAAAAAAAGAGTTCTGCTTTATTTTGAAGCTAAGCTTAAAGATATAAAAGTTTTTAAAGTGTTTTAACACGTACGTGTTGTGTGCATTCACATTCATCCACCCAGAGTCGACCCTTTAACAGGGATTATAGCACACTGCAAAAAATTTAATTTTTACTTAAAATAAGCACATTTTCTATGTAAGACACTTTACCAATGGAAGAAGATAATTTACATTTAAAATAAGAAAAATTTAAGAGTAAAAACACTCATTCCATGTGCAAAGTATTGTATTTACCTGCTAAATTTAAGGGTAAAAACACTCATTTTAAGATTTTTTTTACTGATTTCTAGCTTTTTTTGCAGTGCATCCTCCTGGCTTTATATTTCTACAAACACTTATTTCTCTCTGTGTTAGATTGGATGTGCAGCCTTGTATATATTCCCTATTAAATTTCGATTACAGACTTTGACTAGACCGTTTCAACATATTAGGTGTTTTCGTTCTAAACCAAGTGAATAACTGAAGCTCTTGCTGCAGGTTTAGCAAACTTCAAACAGGTCGTCTTCTTCTATGGAGCAATTTCCATCTTCCCATCAAATATTAACAGGCTGCGTGTAGAAAGGTGTATTTCACATTTCATGCTTTTTTTTTTATCAATGTAGAAGGGATAATTACTAAAGCATCACTTTTTTTAGACTTTTATAAAAAAAATAATAATAATTTTCTTCATTATTATGCACTTTATGTTGTCAGTAAAATAATATTTCATTTAAATGCATTGAATTCTGAGACTGTATCAATTCTATTCTATTCAGTTTATTTCTATAGCTCCAATTCACATCATGTCATCTCAGGTCACTTTCCAGTTCACCAGATCATCCAGTCAGATTGATTCAAAGTTTTCTATCTAAGGAAAACCAGCTGATTGCATCGACTCATTGACTCTTCAGCAATCGCTCACACTAAGCATGCTTGTAGCGACAGTGGAGAGGAAAAACTCCCTTTGAACAGGAAGAAACCTCCAGCAGAACCAGGCTCAGTGTGAGCGGCCATCTGCTGAGGCCCACTGGGGTTCAAGGAGACAGAAGCAGACATAGAAAAAGAAGCATAGATACAAAAGGCAACTGTCAACCAGCTCCACAGGCGGCCCCGTCCAGGAAACACACAGCCAGGCAGACGAGCTCCGAGCCAGCTCCCATGTCAGAGGATGAAGAGAGCACATCCAGTTAGTCACAGTCAGAGAAACAGGACTACACTGGAAAACAGGCCAAGCTCCAACATCTAGAAACAAAGGTGTTGATGGCAGCAGCACAGCTGATATTTCTCTCCAGGATGGAGTCACAGCCAAACAGGAACAGACCAGATGAAGCTACTATGAGAAAAAGCAGAGAGAGCAGAACGTTAGAGATTGAACTAACAGATTCTGCAGAGTGGGAGAATAGAGATAGAATGAAGCAGAATGATGAAAAAGGGGTCCCTATGTCCTCCAGCAGTCTAAGCCTATAGCAGCAGAACTATAGAGATAGCTCAGGATAACCTGAGCCACTCTAACTAGAAGCTTTATCAAAAAGGAAAGTTTTAAGCCTAGCCTTAAAAGTAGACAGGGTGTCTGCCTCACAGACTAAAACTGGTAGTTGGTTCCACAGGAGAGGAGCCTGAGAACTAAAAGATCTGCCTCCCATTCTACTTTTAGAAATTCTAGGAACCACTAGTAAACCTGCAGATTGAGAGCGAAGTGCTCTGTTAGGAACATAAGGAACAATCAGATCTCTGAAACATCAGGTAAAATAGTCTAAACGCTGAATTTCTCTTAAATGTTGCAAAGACATTGAATTCCATTAGCTGAAGGTTAAAGCAGCGACTCATCACAAGATTATTCATCTTTAAAGCTTCCTCATAATTATAGGAGAATCTTAATGGGACTTAATAGAGATCTGGTCAATATAATACATATTGATACATGTTGGGACGAGATCCATGAGCTCCTTCCTGCTCTCTGAGGGCTGCATCAGTTCATTCTTCACATAATATCCCTGAGTGTCTCTAATAGCCATCCCCTGCCTCCTAATGCCATTACTCATCAAACTGCTCCGTCAGGAAGAATGGACAAAGTGCATGTAGAGCCGTGTAGATCGCTGGGCTGTACACCTGCCTTTATTACTCTCATTTTAAAGAAAGAATTAAAGCAAAAGGGTCCATTAATGGTAACAGGAGACTGTTTGCTTTGGCGTAGTTCATTGTTTTTATTGCTTCCAGGTCTCACTTTATTCAGAACAACTATGATTTTACTTGTTTCAAAGAAAAACGAATTGTTTTTCTGAAAGTCATAGTAAGCAGGTTAAATTAAAAGGTCTTTGTCCTTATTATAATAGAACAGAAATGCATCCCTCTCTAATGCAAAGTGATGGTTTCTATATAAATAACTCAACTGCAACAGATTAAACCCAAAAAATAACATTTAATTTAACATTTCACTTTCCAGACGATTGGTTCTCCTCAGGATGCTGGATGCTTGAAACTTGACAAGTTTTGCTAATAATTATGGAGCCGGCTGGGACCCCATAGAGCATCGAAATCAGATTCTAGGATAATCTTTTCATCCGTAAATATGAAAGGAAAGAAAAACACGGTAGAACTTGTAACATTTCTGTAAAGGTAACAGTTTAAAATCAATGTAAATGGATTATGACCAATAAGGTTAATGGACTAGTTTTCTGTGAAGATAGACACGAGTCATGAAGGAGCAGACAGAGACTGATTTACAGTGACAACATCCAAATAGCCATATAACAAATGTGCAAAAAAATTAAATAAAATGAAAACAAAAAAATTATCAATTCCACAGTTCAACAGATTTGATTTATAGTTGCCTTTTGTATCTATGCTTCTTTTTCTATATCTGCTTCTGTCTCCTTGAACCCCAGTGGGCCTCAGCAGATGGCCGCTCACACTGAGCCTGGTTCTGCTGGAGGTTTCTTCCTGTTCAAAGGGAGTTTTTCCTCTCCACTGTCGCTACAAGCATGCTTAGTGTGAGGGATTGCTGAAGAGTCAATGAGTCGATGCAATCAGCTGGTTTTCCTTAGATAGAAAACTTTGAATCAATCTGACTGGATGATCTGGGTGAACTGGAAAGTGACCTGAGATGACATGATGTGAATTGGAGCTATAGAAATAAAACAGGGGTCACAAACCCGGTGCCCATGGGCACCAAGGGGCCCTCAAGGACCACATGGGGGGCCCTCAGAGTCTTCTAAATAAAGAACAACCCACCAGTGGTCTAAGTTTGAAATGTTATTTCATTCTGTTGCTCTTCTTTTTAATCATTTATAGAGATTTCAAAAATGAAAATGTCTAAATAAACTTAAAAATTAACAGAAACAATAAAAATATGTTGATAATGTACAAAGTTGAGGCTAACGCTAACCCTTGCAGCTCATGGGTCAGTAATGGTCGCCCTTCCTACGTCTCGGTACCCTCGAAGTGGCCCTCAGCCTTAAAAAGGTTGGTGACCCCTGAAATAAAATCTAAGATGGCTTTCAAAAACAGCACTGTTTCAAAGAAGATTCTTCTCCACATCCAAATTTCTAAAGGTTTAGGAAGAATCAAATAAAGAAAAAAAAAAAAGGCATCTTTTCCAGTGCTTTTATTCTGAAATTTTCCTTGTTAAATTTACCAATCAGATTAGTACAACGGAGTATTAGGGCCACGCTAGAGATTTTTTTTCTTCTACTATTTCAAGTATAAAGTTATAAAATTATGAGAATAAAGTTATAAAATTATGAGAATAAGTCATAATATTAAGAGAATAAAGTCCCAAAATTACGTAATAAAGTTGTATTTTATGACAACTCTTCCCAGAATCCCTTTCTTCCCTAAAATGAGGAATGTGGAGCACCATGGGAAGTTCTACTTTAGCATCGGTTTGACAAATCAGGAAATCTTTTAGCAGCAGCATCAAACTGGGCAGGAGGTCAAAGTGGACTCTGGTTGCTGATTGGTGGAGCTGGTCGGCCGCCATCTGCTGGGCGGAGCTCCAAGCTTTCTTTCTGAAACAGGTTGTTGTATGATGACTTTATTCTCGTAATGTTACGATTTTATTCTTGTAATAGAAGAAAACAAATCTCTAGCCTGGCCCTAATACTCCGTCATAGATCAGAATAAATTTGTTAACGGCATTTTATCTATTTTGTACGACGGAGTATTAGGGCCACACGTGAAGAGAAAAAATATTTTTGCCATGACGAGATTAAACTCGTCATGGCGAAATGTTGAGTTTAATGTCGACATGTCGACTTTAAAGTCGACATGTCGACATTAAACTCAGCATTTCGAGAATAAAGTTGAAATGTCATGTTGAGTTTAATCTCGACGTGTCGACTTTAAACTCGCCATTTCGAGAATAAAGTTGATATATCGTGTCGACTTTAATCTCGACATTCCAAAGTTTGGAGAAAAGAGCAACCGCGCTCCACAGCTGCAGTCTGCGTTTTAAGAGTGAAGGTAGTCTTTGACGTGCTGCAGCTGTATAATCATCACAGGAAGCGGTGACCTACCAATAATAACGTAACGTCTTTCCCTATGCCTACCCATATTATGGGGTTCCGTTAGTGCCAAGGAACATGTCAGTCATTTCAACTTTATTCTCGAAATGTTGAGTTTAATCTCGTAATGGGAAAAATATTTTTTCTCTTCATGTGTGGCCCTAATACTCCGTCGTAATTTTGACTCTTAATGCTTCATTTGTTCCTATTGTGACCCTGCAGCTGTCCAGGTGCACATCCTGAAGGCGGACAAAGTGGGCGAATGGTGGAAATTCACCGTCAACATCATCTCCGTCTACAAGCAGGGGGAAAGCCGCATCCGGCGGGGGGATCAGTTCCTGTGGGTCCGAGCGAAAGACGTGGCCTGCAAGTGTCCCAAGATCAAGCCCGGGAAGAAGTACCTGCTGCTGGGGAACGACGAGGACTCCCCCGGCCAGAGCGGCGTGGTGGCCGACAAAGGCAGCCTGGTCATCCAGTGGAGGGACACGTGGGCACGCCGGCTTCGGAAGTTCCAGCAGCGCGAGAAGAAAGGCAAGTGCAAGAAGCCATAGGTGGAGAAAAAAGAAAAGAAAAAACAGGCCGAGCTGGAGAAGAAACGGGAATCCTGAACAGGTTTTCAAAAGAACCGAGGAGCCGGGACAGAGGACACTGTTTATGTTGCTGCTTTTTGTGTAGAAGCATGAAGAGAATAATTTAGGATGATTTGTATTTTCTAGTGAACTTTTGCTGAAGGAGCTCACTTTGCAGATTTGGCTTCATGGTTTATTTTACCCCGACATTTTTCCCTCTTGTGGAATTTGGCAAATTTGCACCTATTACCATATAAAACATTATTTGTGTTTGTTTACTTTACTCTACTATGAAAAGCTTGTATTGTATGCTCTCAGTTTTTTGGGCAAAGGACAAAAAGATTCTTCATTACAGCTGCAATATTGCCTCTGCATGTATTGTTTTTTTTTTTATGTATTTTTCACAGAGAACACTGCAAAAAATTGAATTCTAAACAAGGTTTTTTTATTTTTAAATGCATTTTGTTTTGAATTGAGGAGGTAAGTGAGACACTTTGCCAATGGAACAAGACAATTTACATTTAAAATAAGAAAAAGCAACAGCAACTGTCATATTTTAAGAGTAAAAATACTCATCCTATTTGCAAATCATCCCATTAACCTACGAACATTAAGGGAAAATACACTTGATTTAAGAAATTTTTACTTATTTCTAGATCATTTTTGCAGGTTTCATGGAAAGTTTATCTGAGGTGCGCCTCAGATTGTCAAAGCTACTGTCCTATGGCAAGCCATCATGCATTTAGTTGTCTTTCATGTGCTCCGAGTCAGGAATGTTTTGCAGTTTAAACAATCATAAATATCTCGGTCTTCTGTTTCATCAGTAAGGAAAGATAAATTATGCAAGTAGAAGTGGAACTGGGACATAATTTAGTTTTGATTTATAAAAACACCTCAACGTACCTAGAATCATCAATTTTATGCTCAAGTATTTGCATAAGGATGTTTTTTTTTTTTTTTAGAAGACTTAGACAAACTTTTTTTTGCCATTTTGTATACACAGAGTGTATTCGTATGCACAGGGTGTATACAGAAATAAATTAGTCAAGAATTAAGTCACTACGGTGCCTTATAAAGAAAAACATTTTTAAAGTGAGGTTCTGTTTCCTGAGCAGCTTTTACAAACACATCTTCAACGATCAGAGCATCTTTAAAACAAAAAAGTGAAACTCTTCTACAAAATATTGCCATCAGCATTTGCTTGTCTACCTTTAGACAGATATTAACTTATTACATTGGATTTCATGTAGTGTCGGCGCAGACCTTAGCGACTATAACAGCTTAAGCTACAAGGTTCAGGAGTTCTGTTATAATGATTTATTGCTTTTCTTCCAGAGAAACATTCGTGAGGTCACATGATGTTGGAGAAGGCCTGCCTCTCAGTCTGGGCTCTGATCCAACCACATTTTTTTGTACCCTGAATTTTGAACTGACGTTTTTTTACACATTGAATTCCTTACATTGAATTATTATTTGGTGAAAATTCAGCTGCAAAAAAAATTTCCCTGCAAAAAAATTCAGCTGCAAAAAATGTGAGTGTAAATGTTCAGGTTTTGGTGAACTTAAACCAAAGCAATCTACACTCATGCCGTTGAGCAGCTTTTAGCTGCTTTTAGCCAATGAAATTAGCTCCTTTGGTCAGAGACAGATTTACAGGGAAATTTTTTGCAGCTGAATTTTTTAAGTTTTACCAGATAAAATTTCAGTGTAAGGAATTCAATGTATAAAAAAATGCAGTGCTTAAATATATATATATATATATATATATATATATATATATATATATATATATATATATATATATATATATATATATATTATATATATATATATATATATATATATATATATATATATATATATATATATATATATATATATATATATTATATAGATATATATATATACATATTATAGATATATATATAATAGATATATATGTATATATATATCATATTTATATATATATCAAACACGTATATATATATATATCATATATATCATCTTTGGCGCTAACAGTAGCAAAGCAAGGTTTTCCAAAAGAGCCTAGATTCACTTATATTAGAGATCTAGTTTGACGAGAGAATTTTGCCCATTTCAGATTTTATTATTAACGAGGTCTTTGACTCTAATAGATCAGCGAGGCATTTTGTTTTTATCATCCTGCTCTTCAAAGCTAGTGAGTCTCTCCTGTTTATGAACATAATGAACATGGAGCATTTTAAAATGTCTGCCTTTTATTGATCCACTATGACGAATCCCTTTGCAGCTCATTCTGTTACTTTAATCGGAAACGTTTTAACCCGTTTTAATTACACCCGTAACGTCTCCCTTGCCTCATGTTGTACATTTACCAAGTCTTTAGAGCTTTGGTTTGACAAGCCTCTACGTAAAACGCCATAAACACGTCCAAGCGTTGCTTTGTGTTATACTATGAATTGTAAATGTTCTTGTCACCATTGCAGAGACGTTTAGCAATGTTGTTTTACAATGCCTACTAATATATTATGGTTATTATATATGAATATATTTAATGACACAAGACATTGTGGATTTTATTGTCTTTTTCAAAAAAAAAATTTGTTTTTTACCTGTATGTGCTGGTTTAGATCGTTGATATTAAAGGAGGAAAATAACTACTGAACACGCAAACTTGGTAGAACTACATTCAGACTATCGGTTGAAATAAATTCATTACTTTGACAGATTATTGGTCCTTGTTGCTGTGGTTTATTTATTTCCGCATTTTTATCATTAAATAGACGATGATGATCAAGATGTACACATTTGAGTTCAGCGAGTTTCAATTCTATTCAGTTTATTTCTATAGCTCCAATTCACATCATGTCATCTCAGGTCACTTTCCAGTTCACCAGATCATCCAGTCAGATTGATTCAAAGTTTTCTATCTAAGGAAAACCAGCTGATTGCATCGACTCATTGACTCTTCAGCAATCACTCACACTAAGCATGCTTGTAGCGACAGTGGAGAGGAAAAACTCCCTTTGAACAGGAAGAAACCTCCAGCAGAACCAGGCTCAGTGTGAGCGGCCATCTGCTGAGGCCCACTGGGGTTCAAGGAGACAGAAGCAGACATAGAAAAAGAAGCATAGATACAAAAGGCAACTGTCAACCAGCTCCACAGGCGACCCCGTCCAGGAAACACACAGCCAGGCACACGAGCTCCGAGCCAGCTCCCATGTCAGAGGATGAAGAGAGCACATCCAGTTAGTCACAGTCAGAGAAACAGGACTACACTGGAAAACAGGCCAAGCTCCAACATCTAGAAACAAAGGTGTTGATGGCAGCAGCACAGCTGATATTTCTCTCCAGGATGGAGTCACAGCCAAACAGGAACAGACCAGATGAAGCTACTATGAGAAAAAGCAGAGAGAGCAGAACGTTAGAGATTGAACTAACAGATTCTGCAGAGTGGGAGAATAGAGATAGAATGAAGCAGAATGATGAAAAGGGGGTCCCTATGTCCTCCAGCAGTCTAAGCCTATAGCAGCAGAACTCAGTTTTAAAACATCCACACCCAGCAGCCTTTTCTTCATCTGATTGAAAGCGGGTTAGATTATTCTACAGCTTCATACTCACTTAAAACACATAATGTATTGACATGTGTTGTAAACTGGTGCTATATAGATGAATTGCATTAAAATTAATAATTTTTTTAATACTTTAAGTGGTCCTGATTTTTTATCTCTTTGTTCCATAATTGTTCACTATTTACTAAAATACTCTGTTTTTGTACTTCGGTTCTAATTCTTGTTTTTTCAAAACCTCTCTTCCTTTCAAATTACAACTACTTATTGTTTTTTCAAGTATATTTTTAATTTTTTTATTGGAAAAACATTGTTATTCACTTCATACATTATTTGCAACACCTTCAAGTCACCTGACTTTTAGAAGTACTAAAGTACTATATAGCAATATTTCATTAGTAAAAGAGATTGATATGGTGTTTTTAAATGGCAATATATCAGCATATGAAGATATTGGGATATTTTAATGGATCAATATTTTTTCCCTCGTCTTTAGAAGTTTTTAAGTCTGTAAAAAATAAGTTTTTGAGGAAGAAGAAGAAGTAGTATTTATTTATTTATGTTTTTTAGACTTTAGAAACTCAGAAGCTGATCAAATATCGGGTTAAATATCGGTGGGGTGGGCGATGTCCGATATTCAGCTTTAAGGCTGATACCTATAGGGGGCCGATTATATCGTGCATCCTTAGTTTAAACCATCTGAGGCTAAAAAGAAAAAAACGTGAAGGGATGGAGAAAAAAACGAGTCGATCTTGGAAAGGGGTTTGTTCGTTGGTGCAAAATGAAAGAGGGCTGTAAAACCGATAACTGTTTCACAACTTTATTAGATTTTTAACACTTTGCTCTTAGTGTTTAGTTATATATCTTTATTATTTTCGATGTTGTCAGGGTTCTGCGGTGGTTTCTTTGCCGGCCCAGTCTTTCTTTTTCTCCTGTTAGCTAGGGTGACCAAACGTCCGTATTTCATGTCCTGTCCCGGGCGTCCCGGGTGTTTTTTAGAAAGTGAGGAAATGTCCTGATTTTTTTAATTACCTTAATTAGACCATTAAATTTACAGGCACTAGGGCCCTGCGCACAACGCTGCGTGTGACATAATCCCTGAGCCACGTCAGTGCGGGCAGCCCTGTTCTTAATCAGAATATAGATAGCGTGGCTGTCAGGACGCCAACAACATGCAAAAGCGCCAATGTATGTTTACCGACGATTTACAAAAGAGTTTCCCCGCTTTCAAACGGGATGCCTTGTGCACAGCGTGCAAAGCAGGCACATATGTCTCGGTGTCCAATGGAGGTGCAAGGGATCTGAAAAGCCACCTGGACACCGAAAGTAAAGATAGTCGATATGTTTGTTCGTTTTTGGTAAATTTTTAGTTATTTTTGCTACACAAGAGGTATTTTTTGTTAATTAGCTCATTTGTTAATCTATTTTTTCCAATAGCCAACAGAACAGACATTATTTCATTACTGAGGCTGAGTATCATCTGTTATTGGGAGTTGAGAGTTATTGTTAACTTTTATTGTTAAGTGAGGGATGTTTAGATGAGACATTATTTCTTTCATTGTGTTTTTCATTTATTACAGGAATTGTTAAGCATTTTAAATAAATACATTTTGAATGAAATTATCATTTGTTATTGGAGTTATTGCTGTTGACTTTTACTGAAAAGCATTTTTAATAAATCAACTGTAAATATCATGTTATTGTAGGATTACGTAGGTCTATGTTAAGTGAGTGCATGCCACAGACATCTCTATGCATGGGAACAGAGATCCACCCCCCACTCCAAGGTGTCCTGGTTTTACTAAATGAAAATATGGTCACCCTATCTCATTTCGGAGCAACTTCCACAAGTTCCACATCTCTGCCGAGTCCATCTGCCTCTGGTCATTCCAAAATAAATAAACAATCCACTGGACTTTATTTCCAAGTTTGAAGACGTTTCTCTTCCATCCAGGAAGCGTTTTCAATTCAAAATGTCAAAAAATAGCGTTGAGTTCCAGATTTTATAAAGTAGCCCAAAAAATCCTTGTTTTAGTTTAGAAAACATGTAAATTCAACTGAAAACTGGTCCCCCCCTTTGGAATGGGGGTCGTTTGGCTTATTTTATTAGACTGCAAAACAAGAATATACAAATACAGATCAGAGTGGTGTCTGCAGTTCAATGCACTGAGGAATGCTCTGATCTTTATATTGGAGAAACCAAACAACCTCTCCACAGACGCGTGGCCCAACACAGCAGAGCGCCCTCCTCTGGACAAGACTCTGCACTACATCTACACCTGATGGACAAAGGACATTCTTTGGAGGACCAGAATGTTCACATTCTGGATAAAATTAAATTTACTGAGACGTCGGTAATCTAGAGTGGGATCCCCCCCAGTTATCCAGGTTGGCACCATAGCATTGGTGTGTATCGGGCAGAGTTAAATTACCTGTAGATAATGGGAAAGGTTTTGCAGTTCTATGGTAGTAGAATAAAAGGCAAGGTTCTGGGGAATTGTCAACTGCCCAAGGAGACATTTTTGATCAAATGCTAACCCAACTGTTTTTAATATTCTTTTTTGTTTCTGCATTTTTTATTTTTTCCTACTTGCTTTGATTCTGTTTTATCTTCCTGTATTTTAATCATGTAAAGCACTTTGCATTGTCTTTGTACTGAATTGTGCTTTACAAATAAATTTGCCTTGCCTTGCCTTGCCTAAAAAAAAAAAAGGTGTTTTGAGAGGGGCGTGAAGGAAGCCATCTATTAAGAAAGATAAACCAACCTTATTCATCCAGGCCAACTATTCCCTCTAACAACCCCCCTTTCAGAGACATAGACAGGTATGGGGCATTGCAGGCTAACAAAGAAGCCAAACGACCCCCATTCCAAAGGGGGGGACCCGTTCATCCGTTTCTATTTGCATGTTTTCTAAACTAAAACCAGGCTTTGTTGGGCTGCTGGATAAAACCTGGAACTAAACGCTATTTCTGACATTTTGGATTGAAAACACTTCCTGGATGGAAGAGAAACATCCTCAGACTTGGAAACAAAGTCCAGTGGATTGATTTTTTAGCTTGTTTGGAATGAAGAGTTTTCAGTAAACCTTCTTCTTAAAAAGGGACCTCAGATCATAAATGTTTCTGTCATCGCTGCACGGCTGACAGAAAAAGTTTTTAAACAAATCAGTATCTTTGAAGAATTTATTTTTTTTCTGGAGTCGTTCATAATGAAGCGTCGATTATCTAGACAACCTAATGGGGTTACATCAGACTGAACGGAAACGAGTCTGTATGACGTAGTGTTTGTGTAGAAACGTTATCAAACAGCTCGCTCCAACTAAACATGTTAGGAAACATCGCAGTTCTCTAGAGAGAAGCACGAATGACGGGAATACAGGGACTATTAATTTAAAATTACATTTATTAGAAATTACAAGCAGAGTGGATTTAAGAAGCTGTTAGCTCTGCCTACGATCTGTTCAATGGACATTAGAAATTCCTAACATAGATATAATTACAGCTGCTACAGTAATGCATGGGTAAATAAATGAGATGTAAAACAGATAGATGAATCATTTATCTTCAAGTAAAGAAATATTTATAAGCCAACAGTATTTACAGGACAGAGCAAAAAACGTCTGCAGGTCTCTTCAGCCCGCGGGACAAAAACAAGCATCGATGCTGTTAAACAAAAACTTTATTTTAGTTTCAGTGCTCAGAAATTAGATGGAAAAAAAATCAGAACGAGATTGAAACTGGTTTTCTGTATTGAACTGGGAGCTGTCCACAGCAGGAGCATCCATCAGCTACATGGGCCACACACCGATGACGACGATGGCTATGAGCAGCAGCACGATCACCACCAGCATCCCTGAGGAGACAGAAAAGACGCCATTCAGGAGACGAGAGCCGTAACCAATGGCAACGAACCTCTGGACACACATTTAAAGACTTCATTGTCACTGAAATACTTTGAAAATCAATATTATTATTGGAATCCAGGACAAGATCTTATTACCTTTGTAACATAAAAAAATATTTTGATGCAAAAAATGAATGTCAATATGATAACAAGAAACACCAACTTACCTGAATATATTAAAGGAATAGTACACCCAAAACATGATTAGCCTTCATTTTCTACTCACCCCCATGCTGAACAACACTCTGGAGTACTTTTTTGATATCTCAAATGCATCTGGAGATCTGGGAGGCTTCTTGCTGTCTGCTGACATTCAAATAATGGAGGTCTATGGCGCCCGAGGCAGAAAGGTCCATAAACGTCCACAAAAAACGTGTCAATATTCCTCCATACTGCTCGTCCAATGTATTCCAAGTGTCCTGAGTGGGTAGCGTCCATAATTTACTCGAAACGAAGTCATTTAGAATGTTTTTAGAGCATAAACAGTAGTGTATAGGATTTCCTGAAAGCGCGTTCACGAGTCTACGGAAACCGCGGCAGACCAAACCAGATGAAAGTGCGCATTCAGCGTCTGCTCTGCCAATAATGCAAGCGTAGAAGAAGAAATGTGCTGTTTACCTGTGCAAAGAAAGAAACAACGAAAGAAAAATGTCTGAGGACTTCAGTGTTGAGGAAGAGCAGGAGTTCTTTGCCGAGCTGAATGCGCACTTTCATCTGGTTTGGTCTGCCGCGGTCTCCGTAGACTCGTGAACACGCTTTCAGGAAATCCTATACACTACTGTTTATGCTCTAAAAACATTCTAAATGACTTCGTTTCGAGTAAATTCTGGATGCTACCCACTCAGGACACTTGGATTACATTGGACGAGCAGTATGGAGGAATATTGACACGTTTTTTGTGGACTTTTATGGACCTTTCTGCCTCGGGCGCCATAGACCTCCATTATTTGAATGTCAGCAGACAGCAAGAAGCCTCCCAGATCTCCAGATGCATTTGAGATATCAAAAAATTACTCCAGAGTGTTGTTCAGCATGGGGGTGAGTAGAAAATGAAGGCTAATCATGTTTTGGGTGTACTATTCCTTTAAATTCAGCGTCTAAATTAAGTGTAAAAAGGGAAGGGTTACTTCAGGTCACAGACATTAGCAATGGATTGTGGCGTCCAACATCCAGCCAATCCCGTTACATTTTCTTAGTCACGTGACGTGACGCCTGTGGCGCTCATACGGAAGGAAAACCAGCATGACGGAGCCGGTCATGCTAGCTAACGCTAACTCAACTACAGAAAAATGAAAGTAATAAACTCACCGTTGAGTTAGCGTTAGCTAGCATGACCGGCTCCGTCATGCTGGTTTTCCTTCCGTATGAGCGCCACAGGCGTCACGTCACGTGACTAAGAAAATGTAACGGGATTGGCTGGGTGTTGGACGCCACAATCCATTGCTAATGTCTGTGACCTGAAGTAACCCTTCCCTTTTTACACTGAATTTAGACGCCGAATTTAAGACGGTGAAATAGAGCCGGTTGAATCTCAGGAGGCTGAAAATATTGAGTTTGAATTTTGAAAGGTTGAATTTTTTTACATGCAGGTTTTTTTTTTTAACACTGAAAAATTAAACTGAAAAATAAGTATTGAAAATGTAATCACTTTGAAATAGTAATTTGAATTTTTTGCTTGAAGAGAAAATAACAAAGGTACGACGGAGTATTAGGGCCACACATGAAGAGAAAAAATATTTTTGCCATGACGAGATTAAACTCGACATGTCGACTTTAAACTCAACATTTCGAGAATAAAGTTGAAATGTCATGTTGAGTTTAATCTCGACGTGTTGACTTTAAACTCGCCATTTCAAGAATAAAGTTGATATATCGTGGCGACTTTAATCTCGACATTCCAAAGTTTGGAGAAAAGAGCAACCGCGCTCCACAGCTGCAGTCTGCGTTTTAAGAGTGAAGGTAGTCTTTGACGTGCTGCAACTGTATAATCATCACAGGAAGCGGTGGCCTACCAATAATAACGTAACGTCTTTCCCTATGCCTACCCATATTATGGGGTTCCGTTAGTGCCAAGGAACATGTCAGTCATTTCAACTTTATTCTCCGAATGTTGAGTTTAATGTCGTCATGGGAAAAATATTTTTTCTCTTCATGTGTGGCCCTAATACTCCGTCGTACAAATGAAATTTCAACTGTGTAGAAATAATGACAATATTTTTTTAGGTCAAAAATGTGTTCTGAATATATTTTAACACTGAAACAGTAAGAACAAACATACAACATTTAAATTTTAGTGGCATTTTTAATTCAAATCCCACACTGCAAAAACAATCCAGAAATAAGTAAAAAATGGCTTAAATTAAGTATATTTAGCCTTAATTTGAGCAGGTAAATAAGATGATTTGCCAATGGAATGAGTATTTTCACTCTTAAAATAAGATAGTTAGATAATATTTACTTGAAATAAGACGATAAAATAGTTTTTTCTTATTTTAAAAGGAAATTGTCTTGTTCCATTGGCAAAGTGTCTTACTTACCTCCTCAAATCAAGGAAAAACACACTTATTTTAAGAAAAAATAACTTATTGAGATTTATATTTTTTGCAGTGCAGTGACACAGATTGACTTCCATAAGGGGGTGGGATTGTTGTGGCGGAAGGTTCGAAAGCAGGTTTGGTTGTAGCCGGTTTGCCGGAAGCATCTTGCTAACCAGTTAGCATCTTAGTGCTACCAGGTTCCCAATGGGAAATTCCATTGGGACCAAGTAGCACTAAATTGGTGACTTAGAAACGACGCTGTCAAGGAACGCTATGGACAGAGGAAACATGCAAGAGGAGGAGAGTTTAGTGTCGGAGGTCGTGGATGAGTCTCCTCCGTCATCCATTTTTTATTTAGAGGAGGAAAGCGGGGACGAAGATGTTGTGGAAGAGGGCGGCAGGGCGGCAGAAGCTTGGTTTGGTGTAGAAGGCTTCCAGCCGTCCATGTTTGAGCCCTTGCCTCGCAACGCTGCCAGTTCTGTTAGCTCTACGCCTGCCGAAGACACAGACGTCCATCCCCGTGAACACTGGGACGCAACTCAATGGGAAAGGAAAGGATTCTGGTTTCAACCGTTGCGTATATTAGCTGCGACACATGAATCAAGATGCTATGACCGAAAACATTTGATTGACAGATGACTGTTGATATATGATTGGCCGAATTTAGGCGTTCAGGCTGACGTAGAACTAACTGGCCTGCAGAAGATAATGGGAAAAAACACAGATTTTAAGACAGGATTTTTTTTTAAATAGATATTTTCTACATTTTGAGACAACATGGTCTAATAAAGAAAACATTTATATACATGTTTAAGCCAGAATGATTTGACATTTAAATATAATTTCCCTACGACTTTAATTTAACTACTTTCAGAAGGTTAAATTCTGAATATAACCGGACAAAAAAAACGTGCATCAGAAAACACAACAAACAGAGAATCAAGGTTTTCAACAGCTTCGTCAAAACCTCGACGTGCTTTAAATAGGTTGGAGGGGCTTTTAGAAAACTTTTCAGAGACAAATGGCATCAAAGGTTGCATTCATCGGGGTTTCCAGGCGACTTCTTTTAATTTTGCTGAAGCACTGATCTAAATTCAGCGCAGGTCAGATGGCGTCCAGGAATAACCTGCCCTATTTTAGCCAACCTGTCTTAGTCTTTGTTTTCCTTTTTTTACGCCCTCTCCCCCCTCTGCTGCCTGATTGGCTGTTTGTCCCACAGGTGAGGAGTCGGGTTAAGCTTTAAGCCATGTAGGATAAACTCTGGCTAAAGGGGATCCAGATGACTTTGAAAGGCTTGTGTCGTCTTATTTTTCTAGCTTCTTAGATCAAACCCAAACATGAAGGGATTATGCTTTGTTTTTACACGTGTTAGCAATAGATCGAGCCTCGCAGGTCTGAGCTTTGTTGTTTTTTATTGGTTTATTGATAGAAAACACAGGACATGCATGTTCGGCGTTATCACACACCAGACATCGCCTCCGCCCCTAAATCGCCACCATCTGTGGGCTAAACGTCGAAGCAGAAACGTTTGCTCAGATACGAATGATGACTCTTTAAGCGACTCCAGCTTAAAGCAAATAAACATCAGAATTTACAGCAATTATCTTTGTTTGGATGTAAATGATATGTAAGCAGAAATCTCCAATGCTTCTTGGATTCAGAATTTAATTGATCCTGATCCAACATCTGACAGAAACTTCATGCAAAGCAACACTAAGGTTCAGGAATGAGCTGTGCAGCCCGTGCATGCAGGAGCAAGGCTCTCACACTCTCCTGCTTCCCTTAACAGTCCGCCATAAAAGCCACAGCTGACACCAGCACTGACTCCACCCTTCTTTTGTCCTCTGAGGCTAATGGCGCCCATGGCGTCCCTGTGGGTGCGCTGGCCCCGATGCAGGAGACAGACCGACCACCCAGAGGTCCCCGTCTGGGTTCATCCCATCTTAGCAATTTTCAGACACATCAGTAAGATAAATCACAGAGAGAAGATGATAATTGGTGAGAGCCTTGACCATCCAGCCCCCCCTGATGATCCCTCCTTGCCCCCCCTCCCGGTTAGAGTTCAAATAGCTTTGGGACCACAGAAGACGAGCATGACCCCTAAGGAACGGGGACATATTTTATGTTAACAAGATTAGCGTAGCGATGTTCCCTGAAAAAAGCTGCAAAAGACAAATCTTTGAAGAATTTTTACAAAAGAGTTTCTGGTCCATATGGACTGAGTCCATGGAACCAATTAGATCCGACTTCATGTGATTGTTCTTCTGAAATATGTCCAGCCCTCTAATGTCTTTGTGTTTTTTAATGTTCGAGGCGGTGCAATCCCCATTGCTGTTTAATTATGTTCATTTTTTGTTATCTTTACAATTAAGTTAGTGATATTCTGTTAAAAATACCAGAAAGGCAAAATGG